GATGTACTTAAAAAAGAAATATTTCGGTGGATTTTTTTTTCAATTTTTCACATATAAAATCTTTTTTCATTCACTCACGCGTTTGTGTGACTCAAAAGTTCTTATAATTAAACAACGGGGCGAAAAATTCCGGTCGGAAACTGTGGCGCGACAGTTGGGCAACTGTCGGCCGATGGCAACGAAGAAAACCGCCGCCTTTGCATATTTAAAGCTCGCCAAATTTAATTTCTAATAAAATTGTTAATACTATAATTATTTCTTAGGCTTCAATACAGATGCTAGCAAATCAAACTATATAAAAATTTGAAATCCTTTAAGTAAAGTTTTAAATTTATTTTTATACTAATATTGGTAGCAAGAAAGCTGCTGGTTGTCCTGATAGTAGGCGGACACCGTGGTCTAAGTACACCTGGAACACCAGATGTGTCATCAAATTGGTTTAATATTAATTAAACATTTTACTCACGTAAGGGAGAGCGACACGTCGACCGTCACGTACGCTGCTTATAACTATGAGCTCCCTTTGACTTGAAAACAGTTGAGAGACCTCGAACAATTTCGTGAGCGAACTTTAGTATCATAATATCTTTGTTTATAGTTAATTTATCATTTAAACATGATTTTTTACTAAAAATTCACAAAGATTTGAACTGTTTACTACAAAGAATTTATCTCGATATTGAATATAACTTTTTCTAATTAAGTAATTTGAGAATTTAATATAGTTTGATTTACCCAGCATCTATACTAAAGTTCCCACGCCCAAATTTTTCCCCCCGAACACTTAATACCTAGTAAAAATATGGAATTTTAAATTTTTTTTGAACTTTCGATATTTCATTCTTAGAAAGATCACAGTAAGGAGAAGCCTTGGGTAGATGGAGCGCATTTCTTTCAATTAACAACTAATTAACATTTTATAAAGAAAACATCGTAAAGCTCAAACATTTTGGGATTTAAATCTATGAACGTAGAGTTCAAAATTGACTGTTATGAAGACTGGTTACCCCAAAACGGAAAAGAAGCACCCTCCATCGCAATGCAATACTTTTTCAAAATTGTAAAATAAGAAAATAATTTAAAAAAAAACAACTTTTGTCATCGATTAATACTCCAAACATTAATTTATTTACCATTTTAAAAACGTTTTGAACTGAATTAATATTTTTTTTTAATTTTTAAAAATTGCACCATTTTTTGATTTTTTTGTCCTTTTCTTCGGAAGTTAAACTTAAAATTAATTCGAAACATACGACTGAGCGATGGTGGGGCGATTGTGTGGCGACTAAGCGACAGTTGTAATAGAAAAATTGGTCATGATAATAGAGAATTGCGATACAATTGAAAAGTCGGCCGACTGTTGCGCAACTTTATCGCAACCTCAACATCTTTTCCACACGACTTTGAGTTTCAAAGTCGCGTGCTGCCATCTAGTCGCCATACAAACGCACTACAAACGATCGAACACACAAACATACATACACATTACGGATCACGTACATTTTGACATTCTCAAAATTAGGATCGCGCCCTACACTAACAGAGACATTACTTCCTTTGCAAAAACAAAAAACAACTCAACATTGCTTGAGAACCTCGGCTTTTCAGAGACTTTTTCGATAAAAATATAAATTAAGGTAAGTAATAATAATACAGAAAAAATGTCTGATTTCTTTTCGTTTATAATATCGAAAACTTAATAAATAAGGTAAGAAAAATGGAAAAATTTCAGGAGACAGGTACTAATGAGACTAAGATAACAACTTTAAAGATTTTACACAACCCAGAGAAGGGTAGACAGACATGTCTTACATAATTAAATGCTCTCTGTCCTCTGCCTCCCCCAGTCCCCCGTCGACTACACATCGCGAGGTCGGAAGCGACCTGCACACAGCGACTGTCGCAGAACCTTTATCAGTTATTATCTTAGACCATAACTCCCTGTCTCCATTTAAAAACCACATGACCCGGCCTAAAAAGATATGTTTTTCCGTTCATTTCTAGTCTAAACTATTGTCTAAACTATATGATCAACTTTGTGAAGGTTAGAATGTAAAATAGTATAATTACGGTAATATAAAAAATCTCGAGCAGCGTGTGAAGTAACTAGAAATCGATATCTTATGAACGAGATAATCTCCAGAACTACCATTTCGAGTTGAATAATGCTTTATGTGTCGGATAGTCCATTTATAGAGGACGACTGTAGGCTAAGAAACATCACGGCAGTCGAGCAGCGGATGAAACCGCGCGGGTAGCTAATAATAAATGCAAACTATATAATTTTACACCCCAACTAGTAGCCTTACTCTTGAAACCAATAAAATCTCAATAATCATTCAATGTCAAAACTATACAACTCCTATCGTAGCTGTTCAAATAGCACTCAGAGTGCGGAATATAAAACCAAACTCAATACTGTTTAGTTCATTCAATATCCACGCAATACGAATGCAATGGGCCCTAGTGTTGCAGCTCAAAAATACGAAATTTCATTCGATCGGAATTGGATTCAAGAGTAAGCCCCATTCTCACAGAGTTGATCTTGCATAAAAACTACCTATATAAGACCTTTCAGAATTCGAGTTAAGTGATTTATTATTACATAATATTATTATAGAATAATAATGTCAAAACAAATAATAAATTAAATACATTTTTTTTTCAACCAAACTCGGTTAGAAGTATTCATGTATTAGAAAACAAAAACAAATAAATATAACATAGAAAAAATGCTCGGAATCGTTTTAAAATTGATTTCTTTTTAATTCTAAAAGATCCTATTTTTTTTTATTTAATTAAAAATTAGAGCTGCCAGGTACATCATGGTTTAATTTAGCACTAAAAAGTACCGCTCGAACTATAAATGGCAACAAAAGTACCACTTGACTACTAAATAGATGACAACTGTTCTATGTCCGAATAGTAGATTTAATAAAAGATAAATTAGACACGTATTGTCAACTTTCATAATTATTGTTAATAAATATACTGGTTTCATTTAAGTAGCTTTTCGAACACGTGTCTAATATTATTTTTCATTATCCAGCTGACGGACTAAATAGATGTTTCCTAATACCCTGTCATCATCTCTTTATTACAAATTTTTGATCTTATTCTAGTACCCACTCGAGAATAAGCGTTGTTTTCGTGACGCTAAGTAGTACCGTTAAAGTCCTAGTACTAAGTTTCAGTTAGCACTGACAATTATTATGACACTTAAAGTACAATTGCTTAATGAACACCTGTTAAAATTCGATGTATTCAAACTATGTAGAGTTGTATGCCACAAAAAATTGCCACACATTCCAGCAGTAATAGTGTTAAGTTCTTCATAAAATTCTTCGATTGTTGAGTCATATGCCTCTATTAGACTGTTGAGGAGCCATATGACACTAGAAAGTACCACACAACACTCCATAAGCCACTGGATACTAACTCAATTCTTCTTTTTGCATTCCATCAGAAATTATACAACTTCTTATAGTAATCTTCGACTAAAACTGTCACTGTTGAGGAGACGTGCGACACTAAAAGTACCACACAACACTCCTAGGTCACTGGGTACTTCTTTATCTCGAGTGTCACTATATAGTGTTAAGTAGTGTTAAATACCGGGCTGTCTGTTGGCCGAGTGGTACTATAAGTACCGTGGGTGCCGGGTCGCGTGGATGGTTTAGTTGTCGCAGTACACTGGTAGTACCGGACTGCGAGGCCAATCTGAGGTCTCTTCTTCGTTTTCGCTGCTGACACTGCCCGATCTGAAGAAGAGAAAAGTTATTAGTACATTTTGTTTAATCAATTTCCTACATTTCTATTACAATAAAGATGTGACCTTTGAATAAATAAATGTAAAAAGTATGTGAAGCATGTCAAATTAAACTGTCAAACACCAAGCGGTCACCGGTGACCGCAACCTATTGTTCTATAATTGTGTCTACAAAACCGGTACTCGACGGGTTAATAAATATTTATTTAGCAAATCTGACAATCAGTTTTCATTTAGAAATAAATGTGATACAGATAATAAACCTTATATTTTTTTTAAGGGGGGAAAATCATCGAATGTATGCTCCCGCCTGGGTGAGGCGGGAGGGAGTGTCAGACTCTTATTGACTGAAATTGTATAATAATGGATATATTATCAAAATGTATGTATATGTTACCTGGTCCTGGTGGGCGTGGCGTCGACTGCGAAGTGTTGCTCTTCTATGGTCGGCAGGAGGGACGTCAAACGATCCGTCGGACGAAGTACCTGCGTACAAACAAAACAATAAGTTTAAGTATTAATACTTCGTTAATCGAGATATCGTAGAAGAAATAAGAAGAATATCGAGGTTTTCTTTATGTTATAAAAACTATCTAATATCAATAATGCAGAGCTTAGATTGTGTGTCGATGTGGCCCGGAGGTTTAAGACGCCCGCTTCTCATGCATGAGTGCGAGGGCTCGAAACCTACCAATACTTTGTATGTTCAAAGTTTGTCCATATGAGGACTGTATCTATAGAGTACTGATATATAGTGAGAGTGAGTAGTTACCTTGAGCGTCCTCTCGGACAGTCTCCACACGAGTCGCTGGCGGTCGCGGCGCGCCTCGCAGCGCTCGTACCGCGACACCACGTGGCGGACGCGGGCGCGCGCCGCGCACAGGGAGGCCTCGTTCATCTGTGGAGACAGCACATGGTACTACTTGGGGATACACGGAGCTCCTGATGGCAAGCGATCTGCGCCGCCCACAGACACTCGCAAAACCAGATACTACAGTGTTAGGATGAATTTAAGTGTCTAGCTAGATAGTAAATAGACAATAGTTATTTCTAATAGTGCGACGTAAAGAAGTAGAGGTTACGAAAACAGAGAGGAAAGATGCCTTGGACGAGTTTGTTTTACGTTGACAATAATAATCGAAACAAAAGCGCGTTCGGCGTTCTGATTGGCTGGATTAATTGGTAACTATGTACACACGGCCACACATCAATCTATACAAAACCAGTTTATCCTGGTGTCGCGTCGCATCATCTTTCCGCACATTTAACGTTCAGTTTATACTGGCTATGTAAAGCTCGATGTGTAGCCGTGTGTACCATATTTTAATACGGTAGTCGCCAGGGTATGAAAATTAAAAAATCTAATTAGTCCGTCAGTTGATAATGAAAATATATTAGTCTTTATCTTGTCGTATAAAGTTACAATACTTAGATAAAATGGCGTTAAGTTTACCAGAGGAACATTACAATTTAATGAAACTACTCTATTAATATTACAGTATAACAATATACTCACTTGACAATGCAGCTGTACTTGTCTGGCGAAGTCGAAGAGATAGTACGCGTGCTCCTCCGGGATCAAGTTCTCTTCGTTCGACGACCACTCCGCCAACTGTTGCTCTGTACACAAATCAATATAATATTTAGTTAAATGTTTAGTAGTGGACACATTGTGTACTTGCCAACTAGTTTCAATTTCAAAATTCAATACTTTTTAGGAACTGTCAAAAACGACAGTTTAGTGTGAATTATGTATGAGATTGTGTATTGTGACTTTGTGACGTCAAGTATTTCTTAAATATTGCTGTAAAAATACTAAAATTAAGTTGGTCATAAAATCAATTAATGAAAGTCTGATTATTTTTTTTATATTTTATTGTATTGAAGAGTAGAAATAGTTCATTTTTGATTGAGGAAAGTACCCAATTGTAGTTAATATAATGATATCTACATGTCAGTCATAACTTTTTTTAAAGGGACAAGTCCGCCACCATCTTGGGAAAAACAACTGCAACTCCTGTAAGCCAGGATCTACAGTAGACACAACAATGAAAACACCGGAACACTGAAGTCCGGCGCGTCAGTCTAACACTATGTTAATAAATAAAAGTTCATTTTACTAACATAATGTTATGCCAACTGCTTTTAACAAAGGTTAGAACACACATATTACAATACTGTGTGATCTAGGAATCTAACCTGAGGTCACCAACAGTCAACTGCTGATCGCGGCAGAAATCGCAGCTAAAATTTATCAGTGTTGGTTGCAGCTCATTTACTATGTAAATGTGTCTCTTAACCTCATCCATATATCCCCAAGCGGACACCGGTGACCACACTCTACTAACTACATTATAGACCATATTTCCAATGTTTAGAGACTACTTTTGTATGAACAAATTTAGGGGATGTTTTTCAACGGGTTAATCGGTTGTAACATAATTATTCTAAGCCCCCTTACCCCCACACTTTATTCATGATTCCATAGACAACTCACCTAGTTTGTAGTACAGCAACACTAGCGCTAGTTCACTGGTACGAGTGTTGACGCAGGCCGCGTCGCAAGACACGATCTCCAGCATCTGAACTAACTCCTCCTCCTGGAGACAAACAAACATACTCATTTTTAAGTACTATTCTTATGAAAAACAAATTACTTTAACTTTAGTGAAATAAGACTGGGCCAATATCAAATAACACTAATTATAGGCTTTTTATGAGCGGGGAAAATCATTCAATGACTTCTCCCGCCTTGGGTGAGGCGGGAGGGAGTGTCAGACTCTTACTGACTAAAAACCACCCCGTTTCTTCTCCTGCACTTCGAGCCCCGGCAACCCGTGAAAGTTCTCCGCGACTCAGTATCCGCATCAGCCTCAGGCTACTAGGCCCCGGGCGGGCGTCGAGCTACCCGTGCTCGCCGTCTGCAGGCCCACTGGGACTCATAACTCAACTGGCGTAATGTAGATCTTTTACTTTTTTTAAGCAGGGATCATTTATAAATTACTCCTCCCGCCCTTAGTATGGCGAAAGATTGCCAAATTCATCTAATGAGCCTCCGGGGATATAAAGCTCGGATGTTAGGATTGAATTGCTATTTTTTCCATATCAATGTTTTAAAGAAATCACACTGATGGTATTTAGTCCTTGAGCCAGCTTACATCACTGCAATTACATTTTTATGAATGCTTTGTCTTCCAAAGTCTATGTCCAATCTGAAATAATCCAGAAGGATTGTTGTCTTTGAAAACTGATCTATCTCCATGGACATAACTATAGATATGGGACCTGTAGTTAGCTTTTTAGGAGATATTATTGTCTAAACTAAGCTACTGTTACATTCACTCTAAAATAATAAATAAAATAAAACGCGTTCTGTTGAACATACTCAAAAATCGAACGCCTATCGATTCGCAAGCCTACCTGAGGCCTTAGTACAAGTTTGATTTACGTTGAAAGTATTCGAAACGAGTACGCGTTCGGCACTCTGATTGGCCGGCGCCAATGAAGTAACCAATCACAGCGCCGAACACGTACTCGTTACGATTACTTTAATCAAAAAACAAACTCGTACTAAGGCCTCAGAAATGAGCATGCTAACTTTGAGATAACATTCGACACACATAGGTACTAACTAAATGCTCAATTAAAGCATGCTTTCGTGGCGACACATGTCACATGGTCACGCACATAGACCATCTATGAAAACAAATAAACGGATGACGTCTCAAAATCCTACATCGCACAATTAAAGTTTACATGCGAACTGACACGGATAGGAAATCCCAACGAACAGCTGTCGGGCAGAAAGCCCGCCAGACACGAACACCCCGCCTGGTTGGAGGATCGAAATTAGCATGTGTAACAGTACCTTTGTATAACGAAAAAATTCTATTTACCTGGCACCCAGCAGGCAAGCTGACCCCGCAGTGGTCAGCCTGCAGCAGCAACATAGATCGCAGTAACCTCAACCAGTCCAGCGCCGTCACCACCCGACAGCCTGCCACCAAGCTCAACTTGTCCACGATGACGCGCGACATACGAAGCACGTCGCCTGCCGTGCAAGCTGATTGCGATATTGATACTGGAAGAAAGAAAGATGCGACAATTAATATTATGGAATAGCACTTTTAGGAGATTTTTAAGTTAAATAAAAAAAAGGCTGGCCTTTTTTATCTAACTACTTCAGAAAAAACTGAAACATTAATACATTATTGAACATAACTGGATGACCCTCCCCACTCCCTGAATCCCAACAATCCTCAAATTCCTAAACCCTAAAAGGCCGGTACACATTTTTAAAGCCCCTGGTGTTCCAGATGTCCTTGGGCGACGCTGATTGCTTACCATAAGGTGACCTGTTTGCGTGTATATCCAATAAAAAAAAATCTGATTCTCTATCAAAAATCTACCGACTTCAGATTGAGATTGGTTATATCAGAGATAAGTGTAGGAAGATCACTACATGGTAAAAACCAATAATTGTTTACCCAAAAAACAGCTACATTTTATATTCCATGTGCTCACCTAGTTCCTCGACAGAGATGCTGCGTTTGGTGTCAGTGTCGGCGGCGTACTGTTCGAGCGCGATGTTCATGCACGAGACCGTGATGCACGGCACGTGGCACGGACGTACCTTCATCTTTGTCAAGAACCTGGGCACAAAGACATGTATTAATTCAAATTTTACAAAATAGAACTGAGAAATTAGGAACTAAAGGGTACATTACAACTTAATGATGGGATTTCATTAAGTTTTATCAAGTACTGACTGCCTCGTTGGCTGAGTGGTCGCAAAGGCGACTGCCGAGCAAGGGTAGATTCCCTGGTCGGGCGAAATATTAGGTATTGGGTTTTTTTTTTCATTCTCAATAGTAGCACGGAGTCTGGAAATGTGCAAGGTGTATAGCAATAGGCTCACCCCTATTACATGGGACTCATAGCGGAAATAGTGAAAAGTGGGTGTTACATTATTCAGTCAGTCATTGTTATTCAGCCTATTCCTTCGGGAATAAAAGACGTGATGTTGTTATTAGCTACAATTAGAGCGCAAACCAACGCTAGATAGTAATGTTATGAGATAGTATACCTGTCAAACAAGTTGATGGCACTGATGAGCACGTCTGCAGGCAGATCGTACCATATTTTGAGACACCTCAGCACGTGGGCCGCACCGTCTCGCGCACCCGTTGTCACTTCGCCATTCTGCAACAAGTACATATAAAATTTATTTATTTATTTAAAACCTTACCTAAAATATCATTACAGTTTTCTCCATTCCGATAGCTTAGGTCTAAAACTAAATCTACATATGTACCGAATTACTAATTTAAACAAGACAAAACAAAATGAAAAAGAGAGCATACACAAACTTAACTAAACTTAACATTTATCCATAAAAAAAAGAGATAATACTGACGACTTTATGGTCACGAGATCAGCGGTGAACTACTTACTAAATAACAATAATAAAAAATTAAATAATAATCTTAATTAACATTTAAATAACTTGATATGAAATAATAATCTAATAAAGGTTGCAGGGCTTTTCGTAGAGAAAACCCTTATTTCATCAGAGAACTGTTACCAACCTATGTGCAAGATACATGAGGGTACGGGTTCGGGAACCTACCAACAACAAGGAAGTACCAATGTGACATTTTCCGAGTTATATGTATTTTCTAAGATTATTAAAATTTAGACACCACTGACAAATGGCGGAAGAAAATATCGTGAGGAAACCTGGGCTTATAATTTCTAATTAGAAGTTTGAAATCGGGAACCTGCATTGAGCTAGCATGGTGATTGATGCTCAAACCTTCTCCGTGTGAGATGAGGTTTTTGGTCGGCAGTGGCCAATTATAGGCTATTGATGTTGAAGCTGATGACAAATATATTTTACTGCCGTTGCAATACGACAGTGAGTCAGCTATATTATGTTTATAGTTCGTGACATAATCACAAACACATATACAGGGTGTTTTTGTAAGGTGTCAAGCCGCCACTCTAGGTAGCAGAGTTCCATACCTATCGATTTTACCCCCATGTATTTATGATGATTACGGCTTTAAATAATTTTAACTAATATCCAAGAGTTGAACCAAAAAAAGGTGTAATTATTTAAAGCCTAAAAAAATAACTAATATCTCGAAAACTACGAAAAATCGTAGAACATAATACATGGGGGTTAAATCGATAGGTAAGTATGGAACCCTGCTACCAGCTAGTGGCGGCTTAACACCTTACAAGAAACACCCTGTATTGCAGAGTATATTCAAGCAATATTTTGACGCATTAACATGTTTTGAAGGTTTCATGACATTCCAGTATAAAGGTCATGATGCAATAATTATTTTTGTTTGGACTTGTAAAAGTATAGCTTGACATGTCTATACTTATATTAGTCTATTCAAAAAAGTATCCTACATATATTATACAAGCGAAAGTTCGTACGTGTGTATTTGTCCACTCCACGTCAAAACGGCTCAAGAAATCGGTATGAAATTTGAAACAGGGGTAGATTATGGGTCTTGTTGTGCCACGGGAACGCGGTCAAAGCCTATGGTAAAAGGTAGTCATACATATTTAAGGTTAACTTAAGAACTGGTTTTAGGCAGTAATTATAGATAGGTCATTATCAGGTTTGGACTGTTCATCTTTATAATATGTTTTTGTATAGATAAACACTTTGGTTTTAAGCCAGTCATGTAATTAAACGAGATTTTTCAGTATTTATTAAGGGAGTCGTCAAAAATAATGTAGATACCAAGTACAAATTCATAATTCACTGACGATATTCAACAAATATTTGTATTTTACAGCCAAAATACTAATAAAACTTTATAATTTTTCATATGTTTTATCAAACATTTGATTATTATATTTAATTTTTCAATTACAACATTTTAAATCATATCCACATTAAACAACAAGGATTCTCGCTATAATATGTAGTTCCGCGAGTGAGTTAAGATAAAAACACTCGCCTGTTTCGAACCCCACGGCCTTGACCAACAGCAGAGTATCGGTAGCTTGCGACACGTGGACGTAACGTGATCTCGCTGACTACGACTTGATCAGTTTTTATGGTGTTTTATAATATGTATCAAGTAGCTAATAATATACTTTGTGAGTATGTATGTTTTACTCAGCTGGGCGTGGAGATTATGGTTAACTAGCTTCTGCCAGCGGTTTCGCCCGAGTTCCCGTGGCATAAAAATTGGTCTAATTCCAGACCATAACATACCCTTGTTCCAAATTTCATTTCGATCCATTCGAGGATTCGAGAAGGAGTAATAAACGAACATACCAACTTTCGCATTAATAATACTAGTATTTTCTGATGCGGAGAAGCCCATAGTCCTGCTGCACTATCATGAGTTGTTGATGACGATTCAAAAGTCTTTTTATTACTGGTGTTTGATGTAGACAAAATAAACAGGTAGAGGAATATCGTGAAATCTGCTAGTAAAGTACTACGAGCAGAATTCTAGTTCAGGAAAGTACTCTTAAGAAATTAATTGCTGATTTATAATTATGGGAGTTTTGGCATTGCCTGGTAGGACTGGTAGACTCTCCAGTTATCAGTAACAAAATGGTCTTATGGTTGACATGACGATGGAACAAAAGCATGAGATGTGATGATATGATGCCAAAAATTGATGATGATTGAAATAGACGTCGCTAGTATCGTACCTGTGGCAACCTGGTACACTACTCAATCGGTTTTGATATTTGTTATTTTATCGAGTTTAACAAAATGAGGTACTATGTTCGGAAGATTGTTTATTCATGGGATGTGATCCGAAGTGAGTGATTCAGTCCAAGTCAATTCTAGTTGCAGCTGTCACCGCGTCAAGCTCTTTTTGTCAAGTTGCAGGCGTTCGTTTCCCTTACCTCAGATTCAGCCGGCAAGCAAAGTTTGGGTTGAGACTTTTGTTCGAGCAGTAGATACTCGTTTAGCGTCGCGTACATATGCTGCGCCTCCTCCTCAGGAGAGCGCTGCCGCGACGTAGATGCTGCGGAATGGCCAGCATCCGGGTGCCCCGCGCCCGATCTCAACATTATCGGGATTATTGGCGCGAGTTGAGGGTGAATCGGCACCTGGATGATGAGAGAAGGATTAAAAATACTGCAACATGTAAGTACATAGAATGCAAGTCAAATGCCTTAATGGCATTTAGGTAGATTATGTGATATGTTTGTAAACAAATCATAAGGCTAGAATTACGACTCGTTAATTCTTTCGCGTGCAATCACACTCTCGCCCTGTCGCTCAATTTGCTGACAGTTCTGAGTGATAACAAAAGGATAGGATGCATGGAAAATTGCTATTTAATGTGACAAGATGTAGTCTTACCTTTTTGGTTTGTTTATAAACGTTTCACATAAATTTTAGCCAAGTATTGACGAGAAACGCAAGTCCAAAGCGCTCTAGTATAGTCACGAATTCACTACTAAATACTTTCGCACACTTGACACTGCGTTTTATGACAAAAAGTGCGTTAGACAAGTGCATAAAGAGTTCAAACAAGTTCCTACATGAAGCGCAGTAGGCTTAATACGATTATTGACATGACGTGTTGTGCGAAAAGATTTGGACAACAGATTCCACTATTGTGACTCCTAACTTGGTGCTGATAGAAGGTTATGTTAATCTATTTATATGGTCATATTTAGTGTCTTACTAAGTTCCTATTAACTGATTTGACGGATAATTAATTATCGAAATGTGTGAGTTTAACTAATAGCAACTTAATCAAATATATTTGAAAAGACCACTGAATATTTAGTTATTTTCAAAAGATACTTTCAGACAATATTTACTTGAATCACTTTGATAAACAATCTGCATATCATAAACAATGTGTTTTATTTTATTTATGGACGAGATTGTCAATTAGGCATTATTCAGCATTTTGCTCCGTCGCTCGCACGTATTTATTGCAATGGATAACAGAATCGAACGATACTCCGTTATATAAAATGAAATCTTTCACAGAATTTACTAGATATTATAACTGACTCCACGTTAACAAAGTGCCATTAAAATTAATTTTAAAGAAATGAAGAAGTTCGATAACAGAATAAACCAAGATTTTATAATAAATATGAAATAAGATTGAAGGCTGTATTTTTTGCCATTCCTAGGTGGCGTTAGCGTAGCGTTCAGTGTCGTTCGTCAAATCTAAAAATTCTGATCCACTCGACTATATGCCTTGCCCTGCTGTGCTTATTTCTATAATTTCTAAGTCATAGAAAATTATTTTTGTAACATTACTAGACAGACAAGATCTAAAGCTACAATAGCGCCACCTACTAAGTGCAAAAACAACCACCTGCAGTTATTCATCTCCAAATCAGTCCAGAACGTTCTAGAAAAGCATTAAACACGTTTAAAATCTTACCTAAGCGAGTGCAGGAGCAATCAGCGGCTTCTTGTCGTTGTATATGCCCGCACCGATCCGCCCACAGCTCTCGTTCCCCGACGGTATAGCGACCGGGCGCGAGGGCCCTAGTACCTGACAAAGAGAGAGCGCTGTCAACGCACTGCAGCCTGAATAGGCCGCCGAGCGATGATGCAGGGTGTCGGGGAAAGGTATTTGGGTGACTATAGTCACCTGGACGTGGTCTAAGGAAGAGATATTTGGAGATATTTGGAGGTGGGTTTCGAGTGCTTTGGAATGTCAAAGTCACTAGGAATATGAACTTTGAAGTGAAGTTTTACAACAAAACAAATATACGAAAAACTTACACAAGGATTTTGATAAAATTAAATTATAATTACAATAATAAATTAATTGTGATGGGAGATTCAAATACTGATTAGGTAGGAACTTTGGAAGGATTATAGGGGGTTTTGCTCCGGGCTACCGGGAGCAATGTTTTGTTGAAAAACAATTGCCCAGCCGCCTGTGCGCCTCTCAAACACGTCAGATACACTACAAGCAGTGGTTGAGCACTGTTGTAGGCCAGTACAATGCGCTCTAACGAGACGCAAAGACACAAAAGCGTTTTAAAAACACAATAAAGCCACGGTCTCTCCCTTAGCCCTAGTATACACTGGGAAAAACCTCCTGGTTGAACCCTTGATACTATTTTTATATGAACTTTTGACAGTTCTATCGCAGCAAGCGAGTCGGGCTTCTTGATAGGGATAAGTTTACAATAGTAGTAGATTTTTTATATAAAGTTACCTGTAAAATTGGAACAATGAATATGGCATATGGATGGATGTCAGCTTGGTGATGTTGCAAACTTCGTTTTAGGTAACCAGTGTCCAATATGTGTATAGATCTTAACATTATAACAATAAACTACCCTATTCTGTGTCTGTCTGTCTCTTGTTGGAGTATGCAACGATTATTCAAAATGAATTTTGGTGGTGTTTACATCAGTAACTTTAGATTTTAATACCGCAGGCGAACTGGAAATGTACTAATAGATTCAATGAATGCTTTATAAAAAGCCAATACCAGTCAGCTAGTTCAATAAAGTACATGTTTAATTTCTAATTGTTATCGGCCATTGACTGGCATCAATTTCAAATAAACGTAATTGTTGCGTATATTATTGAGATTATTTCAGTGTTTGTTTCGCAATATCGATGTGTCGCAATTCCTTTTTCAACAAGCCAACTTCTAATTAGCGTAATAATTATAAGACATATTTTACACTTTGGAACGAGCAAATAGCTTCACAAGAGGACTGACCTACAGACTGACATTTTTTCTTATTATTAAATATTTAAATATTTTGTTTTGACGTTCAAAGTGTCTTCCTGGTCTAATTGAAATAAATGATTTTGACTTTGACTTTTTATAATAAACGGTTTTAAATAATATCATCAACAATAAGAGTGTGTAGCAAAAGATCATATTGATCTGTGGTCAGGAAGAGCGAGAAATTCCAATTACTAAATTTGTCCCGAACAAACAAATAGGTTAAGCTGAATAAAGTTCTTATTCCGAACTGACGATTATACCACCAACATTTTAATATATAGGTAAACATATTTATGTATAGGTTTGTAGAGACTAAACACCGTTTCCGTTTGACGTCACGTTATCGTCAGAGATACGTAAAACCTCAATACAATGTAGTCAGCGCTATAAATGTAAACAAATATTGGTTATTGAATTATGTGTATAGAAATTAGATTTATAGGGCATATTTTAATTATGGCAAAACACGTCTTATCGTGTTGAAAATACGTCTTACCCGTTCATCAGTTACAAACCAACAGAACCCTGACTAGTGGTAGTAAAATATCTAGTTATTTATTTATATCAATAATCTATGTATATGCCGATAGACTATGCATTAGTATAGCTAACTGGGAATGAGCTCTATCTACTCATTCATTTATTGACCAACGGTAACTCAGATTTGTCATGTAAACCCGATTGAAAAAGAGTAACCTATGGAGTTTCTTGCTCGTTCTTCTCCATAGGAATCTACATCTTGGAATGAGCAACTAGCTTCACTTCTAAATTATTATTTTTTGTTGTTGACGTTCAAAAGTGCCTTCCTGGGTGCTTACTCTTGAAAACAATCTCAATGTCAATGCAATTTCAATCCAATAAAATCTCAATAATTATCCAATGTCAAAACTATACAACCCCTATCGTAACTGCTAAAGTAGCATTTAGAGTACGGAATATAAAACCAAACTTAATACCATTTAGTTCATGAAATATCCACGCAATATGGATGCAAACGGCGCTAGTGTTATAACTCAAGAGTACGAAATTTCACAATGTCAATGTCGATCGATCGGAATTGGATTCAAGAGTAAGCACCCTGGTCTAATTGAAATAAATGATTTTGACTTTTGGCTGTAGATAATCACGACACAGGAGAAAATACTAGTGCAGGGCAATATTAAAAAAAAAGAGAAAAACTACAAAAAAACACGCGCAACAGGGTCTGATGTTTTGTCAATCTCTGTTAGAATTTTGAGCCATTATCCAAGACATTTTACTTTCACAATATTGACACTCCCTCCCGCCTCACCCAGGCGGGGGCAGTCATTCGATGATTTTCCCCCCTTAAAAAAAAAAAAAAAAAAAAAAACCCTTTATAATACCCGAGTACAAATCAAGTAAACAAACTTTATACCTACATAGTCTTTAGCATTTAATTAATATTATCATCGCAACTATTCTACCATAAATAACTATAGGACCTTAAGTAAAAATACATACATAAATTGTTGATTTGCATTCTAATTTTACACTGTTTATTATGAATGGGCATGTCATATTGGAAAAACAATCTTGTTGGAATAGATTTAAAGTTTATTTTTAGTGTGATAGTGTGTAAATAAATCTGCCATTTTGTATCTACGTAGAGACTTCTGAAAGGGGTGCACAGAAGCAACTATTAATAAAGGAAATTAGTTATATTTATATACTTCTAAAGTTCCAATAAGATTCCTGCTACCTAAGTTTTATAGTATTATACAGGTAAGATTATATAAATTGATTAGGCACAGAGTCTGTAGCTATTGTTATAATAAATTGTGTAAGTGTATCTTTAGCTATCACATTCATATTCCGCGATATGCACTTTTCTTCAGTTAATAACATAATGTAAATTAATGATAATCTCATTAGAATTTATATATGAAATTAAGCCGCCTGCTGCTTCTTAAGCTGATCAAATTACAAACGCACTTTCGTTAAGAAAAAGTGAAAATATTGCGAGTTATTTTAACTGTATCACATATCCCCGAAGAGGTAGGCAGAGGTGCACATTACGGCGCTTAAAGCCACTGTACAATGTGTGTAATGTTATTTTAACTGCTAACTGCTTTTTTTTTAAGGGGGGAAAAGCATCGAATGACCTCCGCCTTTAGTGTCAGACTCTTACTGACTAAAAACCACCCCGTTCCTACTGCACTTCGGGCCGGAGCCCCGGTAACCCGTTAAGTTCTCCGATTTAGTTTGCAAGTAAGTAAATAAACTTTGACACCGTACAACAGATAGTAGCCATTGTCATACTAAATTATATAGTTTTTAACTAAGCTATATTTTCTGTAAACATTGGTCGGTTCAGTAGCCAACCAATGGTTACTATCTATGTACTGAAACAATCATTACTTTCTTACTTGCATACTGAATAAATGCGCTGAATGGATAACATATAGAAGCAAAAATATAACTCTTTATGGCTGAAGAATACAGAGATCGTACTCATACCACGATCTTTTGCAAACGAAACAATTTTCGTAATTTATACAAAAACAAACTAGATCGGTCCGAGTTCAGCGGAGTCGCGAGATCAACGGCCTCTCGGTCATGCGTCGTAGAACTTAGATAAACTCACTTTCAAACAAACATCGCTATATTATTATCATAATTATAATATTTTGCTAAACAAACGTCAGTTTACATAATGTTATTTTTCATGTAATGTCATGATTTTCTAGTCCTAAGGCAGGGTGTAAAAGGAACGCTGAGTAATGATGGTTAAAAACGAGTTTTATTTTAATTACGATCATGATCATCATCATATCAGCCATAGGGCGTCCACTAACATAACATAGGCCTCCCCCTATGATATTATTTCGACAATACATAGTAACTAAAATCTAAACATAAATAAAATCGTAGAAAAGTCAAAACTGTACAAGGAATATTTTTTTAAAGAATACTTGGAGCTTGATCTACAATCGATACTGAAGCCAAAAATATGGTTTTGGGAATTCTTGTCTGTTTGTCTGTATGTATGTCCGGGATGATCTCAAAAAGTACTGCGTGGATTTCCTTCAAATTTTGCATGAAAATTATTAACAAGTCGGGTCAACATACAGGCTACATATTGTCACGCTATCATCTACGGGGAAGGAGCCCTATACTAGGTACTGAATCAATTTTGACCACATGCGTTACCGTAAGAAATCCCTTGATAAAGACTAATACGAAAGCCTAAATTCTGCCAGAAGTCATCATTTTATGCGGACGAAGTCGCGAGCAACAGATCGTACATTTATAAATAGACTTAAACTATAGATTATTTTGCACTAAAGCCATATAAAACAATAGTGCCCTTCAAGATCAAAGAGGGTCACACAAGTTTTACATATCGGACATTTCAACAATATATACAAACGTAAATACCTATAATACACTTTAGTACTATTGAAATAACTTACACAATGCAAAACATAAAACAGCTGATCATTGTTTTCATTTACTTATCAATGTGTAAACAATGTAATCTATATAAAGAAAGTATATTACGAATGTAGTAATGAAAACTACATAATGGTCACAGAAACTAGACTTTATATGGATTGTCTGACGTCAGTTTATTCTTTGGCAAAGTTTTCGTAAAAGTAAATTTAATTTTAATTTAACAGCAACAATATCAATAATGATTAGAGTAAATATAGACAGGATAACATCACGCCTTTTATCCCCGAAGATGTAGGCAGAGGTGCACATACATTACGGCACTTAATGCCACTGTAAAATGTAACTCCCACTTTTCACTAGTTATGTTATGAGTTCCATAT